ACAGTGGTGTGGATGGCAGTGGGAGCAGAGGTGGGATTAGGGACAGGGGTGCTGGTAGCACTGTGGGTGCCGGGGATGACAGTGCTGTGGGTGGCAGGAGCAGGGTGGGTGGTCCCCCCGGGTACTGGGGTGTTCATGGGCACCAGTGGGGAGCTGGTGCTGTGGGTGGTACCAGCTGGGTCAGTGCCAACACTGGTGCTGGTGGTGGCCCTGGAGGTGACAGCAGGGACTGGGACGGAGCTGGGAGAGGTGGTGTTGGGGCTGACAGGAACCAGGGTGGTGGGGAGGAGGGGGACAGGGGACGGGGTGGCCTTATTTGTGGTGGGAGACTGGTGGGTGGAGCACGGGGGGGCGATGGAGGTGGTGGTCAGAGCGGGATGGGCAGTGGGGGTGGCACTGGAGGTGGCAGTGGAGGTGACAGGGGGACTCTCAGTAGAGGGGGGAGTGTTGTTTAGGGGGGTTGAGCTGAGAGCACTCGGGGTGGGGGTCTGGAGGGGGACTGTACTTGACTGGGTGGTCGGGGGGGTGGTAGTGGCAACAGGGGTGGGGACAGTGGGGAGGGTGGTGGGCACAGGGACAGCTCCAGTGGAGGTGGCACTAGCTGGAGTGGTGGGATGAGGAGGAGTGGGGACAGTGGCCGTGGGGGTGACAATATCTGGGGTGGTGGGGCAAGGACAGGTGGGGACAGTTGGGAGGGTGGTGGGCACGGGGCTGGTGGCAGTGGAGGTGACACCGGCTGTGGTGGTGGAGGCAGCAGGGGTGGTTGTCCCCGTGGGTTCCTTCATCCCTCCCTGCAGGCCGATTCCCAGGACACGGTCCAGCTCCCTCTGGAACTGTCTCTCCACCCAGCCCATCACCAAGGGCTCGTTCTCAGCTTTCTTCAGCTCGGGGAGGTTTTTCCCAAGCAAATTTTTCACATCCATGACACTGAGTTTCTGCAACACACACACAAACACAGCACCCCCTTTGTTCATCCTCACTGCTGGCATCACCCTGAAATGCTTTTCTACGGGGGCTGCAGAGCAAGGAAAAACTTCCAAAGGAAAATTTACACAGGTAAAAAAGTGGAGAATTGATGATTTGATGGGACTCAGGCCTCGGACCCCCTGCTCAGCCCTGGGTCAGCCCTGCCCTGCAGAGTGGAGAGGGGCAGGGGCTGTACCTGCAGTTCCTTGGGATTTAGGGACAGGAAGGTGTCCATATCCATGTCTATGGCCACGCCAGCATTGGCCAAGTTTTTCAGGTCCTCTGCTGGAGCTCCACCTTAAAGAGGCACCTGGACATGTACCAACCATCCCAATACATCTGGGGAGGTTTTGGAGGCTGCCAGACCTGTCCTAGCGTGGTCAAACCTCCTTGGATGAGGAAGAGACATCGAGCCTCGTGGTGGGAGGGAGGGGGAAGGTGGAAGCACCTACCCAGGTAGGGCCGGAGCCGGCAGAAATACGCGCTGGGGGTGCCGGCCAGGTCAGCAAAGGCCTCCCGAGCCTTCCTGTAGAGCAGCTCCTTCTTGGCTTGGGAGCACGCAGAGATGTCTAACTGCCCAGCAGTCCTGGGAGGGAGGGTCACAGCTCAGAGAGAGGCAGCACCCCAACCCACAGCCCAAGTGTTCTGTTGGCTGGGGGAGCTCCGTGGTGTGTCCCCACTCCCAGTGCCGGGGCTCCCACCGGAGCTCCGGCGGGAGCAGCGATCCCACTGTGCTGCCTGGGAGTGGGCAGAGCCAAAACAGAGCTGGGGGGCTTCCATCCCAGCGCCCCCTTGCCCACAGTCCCAGGGGCCTCGCAGGACTGACCAGAGCCCCTCAGAAGAGCCTCACCCGATTGCCTGGGCGGGGATTTGCTCCATCTGCTCCTCCCGCAGGTTGCACAGGCGTCTGCCCTTGATGGCCTGGAGCAGGGGCCCGGTCAAGGTGCCCCCCAGGGTCAGGTACCTGCTGAGCAGCTGCTGCACCTGCGGAGCACAGGGCACGTGGTGGGACACAGGGCGGGCAGGAAGATGCTCCTGTTAAAGGTGTGCTGCCAAACACCTTCGCTCTAAGCCGGGCTGGGGCACGGGCTGGCCCAGTTTGGGTTCTCCAGCACTCATCCCCCGCTGCTGCCGTGGATTTACCTGGGAATCATCCCAATCCCCTCCTGAGGGGTCAAGCAGGGCTGCCAATGTGTCACTGGACGTCACTGACCACTGGCTGATCTCCTCCTCTGAGTACCGGCGGGCCAGCGGTCCCAGGCGCCTCAGCAGCTTCTCCGGGATCCCCGACGGGTAAACCTGTGGGGTCAGGCCAGGGGGCAGAGACCAGGGTGAGGGAAGGGAAAATAGGGTGGGAATGGGTGCAGAGGACTCGCTCGGGCACCTTCATCCCCACATCCATTGATGCCCGTTCCTGCAGCAGGTCCTGCCCATCCTGGACCGTGCCCGTCCTGCTAAGGGGCTGCTGGGGCCTCCTGCCCTGTGCCACCTCTGTGTCACCCACCTCGTCCACCTTTTCTTTCATGACCTCGTAGTACTCCACGACGGGCGTCTGGTCCAGCAGAGCCTCCAGGTTTTCCATTAGGACATCATTGCTCAGGCACAGGTTGAACTCCTCAGGGGTGTAATCCAGGAGTATGGGTTTCGTGGCGATGGTGGTGGCAGTGATGGGCTCGGACGGGCAGCCTGTGGGTGAGGAGTTGTGTCAGGCAGGTGGTGTGTCCTCCCTTCCCACCTGGCCCTGGTCCTGCCACGGGGCTCAGAGCCCCTTGGAAGAGCCCTGGGGAATGAACAGGGAACTGCAGTAACGTGGCTCAAGCCAGTGTGGATCCTCCTCCCATCCCCTGGGTCCCCAGCCCATGAAGCCTGATTTGCTTTCATTCCTTAAAGTTCACGGGGATGTTTTTGCAGCCCACTTGCACTTTGTCCTGTTAAAGGCAACTACAAACTCTCCAGGTCACCTACACGAGCATCCTCTGCTCTTACAGTGTCCTCCACTTGGTGCTAACCCTGCCTGGGGAATATCCCACCCTGTCCCACTCCTTCCCAGCTGCTGCTGCCATATTCCTGCTCCCAGGAAAGAGCAACCCCCCCCAGTGTGCTGTAAGATCCTTTCCCCACCTCCCCAGTTACTTTATGGCAATCCCACAGCTTTCTGCCTGGTCCTGTGCCTCCCCACTCCTGGCAGCACCCAGATGCCCACCAGCACAGGGGCATTTTTCCCCCCCTGAGAGCTCTGAACTGATCTGGACTGGCCAACACTCACTGTCCGTGCTCCGCTTCGGCCTGGGATGAGATGAAGCTGCTCGGGGGAGGCTCCCGCTGCGCCTGCGTCAGCCCCGTAAAGAAAAGGGAATTCTTGGTGTGTTTGTGCTCCAGCAGGAGCCAAAGCAACCGGAATCCCTGCCCAGGCACAGGCACGGAACCGGCTGCACGAGGCTGTAAATCCTCCCCAGCCCAGGGACCCGTCACAGCAGCAGGGGCGTGGATGTGGGGAGAAATCAAACACACACTGGCCCCACTGCCCAGACACCCCAAAACCCAGAGCCCTGGCAGGGGCTGTACTTACCCAGGGTGCTGCTCAGCAGTGGACAGGACAGCTCCAATGACCAGGGCAGCCTGGGGACAGGATGGGGGATGCTCAGCCCAGGCAAGGAGTGGGAACCAGGGATTTTAGATGCAGGGAATGGCATCTGACCTGGCTGAAGGCTGCCCCGGTGACATGTGGGGACAAAAGCCACCACAGCCACTCTCAGGAGTGGGGTCCCTTCAGTGGGTCTGTCCCTGCTTCCCCACAGCCGGGGGGGGGGGGGGTTGGGAGCCCACCAGGGTGCCAGCTCTTGGTTTGGGAGCAGGGCAGGGAAGCTGCTGGGCAGTGGGTGAGTGAGGGATGGGGTGGGACAAGGACAGGCCATGGGCTGCCCAGGGGGACAGCAGGCAGGTGACAGCTGTGCCTCCCTGTAGCTGAGGGATGGAGGAACCACGGCAGCTCCGGCACGTCCAGCACCAGCTGAGAAGTTTGGGAAAGCCCTGGAGCGTTGGGAGCCAGCGGAGCCGGGGGAGACTCACCACTGCAGCTTTCACCAGGTTTGTGGAGACACCTGCAAGGAAGCAGGAGCAGGTCAGGAAACATCCATGGATGCATGTACAGGTGGTCGGGGGATGTTCCACAGCTGCTCCAGGTTTAAAGTCTGGGAAGAGCCTTTTCTTTGACAATTTAACGATGTTCAGTAAAACCTCTATGCAGAGAGCAGCCCCCAGCCCAGGCAACCCGGGGTCCCTCTGCGTGGGTTTGGAAGGCAAAAAGGGAGAAATCTGTCCCTGGAAATCTGTCCCTGTCCTCGGGAAAATCTCCCACTGCCTGTGGATGCTGAGGGGAGCGGGAGGCAGGGGGCAGGGCGTGCTGAAGCCGAGCAGGATGGGGATGAGGAGCAGCATGGGCTGGAGCATCCCTGGCGCTGGGGGTGGATGGGGGTCCCAAAGCAGCTTTAGGGGCACAAGGTGTCACTCACGGAGGCAGAGGGCGATGGCAGCCGGGGCTGGGGCTGCCCACACCATGCTGCTGGTGCTGGGGCTCCGCCCTCGGCGCGGGTCCAGAGGGTCGCGTCCGACACTCGAGGTTGTTGGAAGGTGCTGGGGGTCCTGCAGCCGGTTCTGTCACCCAGCAATGGGGCTGGAGCCGTGTCCCACACTCAAGGTCAGTGCCTGGGGATGGTACTGGGAATCCTGCAGCTGATTCTCTCACCCAACACCAGGGCTGGAGCCGTGTCCCACTCCTGGGGTTCTTGGAAGGTGCTGGGGGTCCTGCAGCCGATTCTCTCACCCAGTGCTGAGGTTGGAGCTGTGGGATCAGGGTGGGTCAGTGTGCCCACCTGTGCTGCCTGCACAGACCCCCCACAGCCAAGGGAGAGATTTTAAATCCTATATAACAGAAAACAGGATTTCATTCTCCACCCATTATTAAAAGAAACTCTACAATAACTTGTCCCCTCTGACACCCAATGCCCTGTTCCTGCCTGTGCCCCGCAGGGACGGGCCCCCCTCCATTCCCCATGTCCACATGGGACTGGGAGAAATCCAGTGTGGCTCAGGGGAGGAGCCCCAGCAGATGTTTCCCTCCCGCTGTTCCCTACTCCACACCTCTCACCTGGATCCCCCCACGACAGAAAATCCATCCCTGCTCCCAAAATCCCCCCGCTGAGCCCAGTGCCGCCCACAGTTATCGCCGTTCGAACTCAACGCAAGTTCAATGCGAGGAATTTTCCCCCTGAGGGCTCATTTTGTTCCCCAAATCCCACCGTGGCCGTGCCGAGCTGTTCTCCTCCTCTCCGTCCGGGGGGATCTGGCTCCGTGGCGAGGTCTCAGCCGGGCAGGTCCTCTCCCCCCGCGGGGCCGGGGATGGGCAGCGCCGGCAGCGCTCGGCACTTATCTGTGCGGGGTGGGGATGTTGCTCCCGACAGGGGTGTGACGGGGCAGTTTCTCAACAGTGTTTTGTCAGGCTCCTTCCCTTCTCCCCGGTTTTGGTTTGTGGGTTCGTTTCCTTTTTTTATTTTTTTTTTTCCCTGTAAAGAAAACTTTGAATTTCTGGTTCAGCTGCAGCCAAAATGAACCCAGAGGGAGTTAAATCCTCCGGGCTGGTGATTCCTGTGCTGCTGAGGGACATAAAGGTGCTCCCACTGAGTGGGAAACCTTTTGAGCTGTTCAGGGGGTTATTTTACAGGGCAACTGAGGTGCAGAACAGACGAGTGCTCGGTGATGGGCTCAGCACCCTCTGGGAGCTGCTTCCCTCCCGTCCATCCTTTTCCCATTAACCATGGACAATCCCATTCCCTCTTTTACAACCTTCTCCCTGATCATGCTCCGAAATGCCATCCAGCACGTGCCACGAAGGAGACCAAAAAGAAAGGAAACAGATCCTTCCTGAAGCTGTGGGATGACAGCCTGGAGGAGCCTGATGCCGTGAGCACAAACTGTTATCTGAGCGTTTATCCCGGGAAAAGGGAAGGGCCAGAGCAGCCGGAGTGGGTGGCTGGGCTGGCAGCAAGGCTGCACCCCCTTCTCAGAGAGATTTGGGGGTACCAGACTTCTCCCTGGAGCTGCTGGCACAGTGCCAAGGGGGGGGGGTTGTCACCTCTCCCAGTGCTCCCAGTCGTGTCCTGTCCCCAGCCCCGTCCCCCAACCGGTCCTGCAGCCCCGGGGCTCGGCCGCCGCCCGCGGGTGTTGCTGGTTTCTATTTTGGAAGGATTTACTGTAAAAATAGCTCCTGTTGCAGTGGTAAAATTACAGAAACTTGTTTGCTATGAGGATGCTGGTGGGACACGGCCCCTGCCCCGGGCTGGCTGGGCAGGGGTGGCTGGAGCAGGAGGGCAGGGACACCTTGGAGCTCCTTTGCGGGTCACCAAGTCCACTGTGTCCCCACAGAGCTTAAAACTGACCCCGAAACACCCTTGGGAGCTGACACAGGAGGGTCCACTCTGAACTTGAACGTGCCAAGGAACATCTGCCCAAGTCCCTTCCTCAGCAGGTCGGTTGTGGGCTCCAATTGCACCTCCCTGTGCCAGGTGGGCTGGGAATGCTCCCTCCCCTCAACCAGCTGCTCCCTGCCCTTGCCAGGTTTGTAATCTTAAAAAATCTCCCAGTCTTGAAGACTGCAAATAATTCCTTTGGGTCTTCACTCACTTTGCCAGCTGCTCCAACTGTAGGAATGACTGCTGGTGTATAGGAGTTATAGAGAAATCACAGAATCCTGGAATGGTTTGGGTTGGAAGGGACGTTAAATCTCATCTCATTCCTCCCCCACCATGGGCAGGGGCACCTCCCACTTGCCCAGGTTGCTCCAAGCCCCGTCCAACCTGGCCTTGGACACTTGCAGGGATGGGGCAGCCACAGCTTCTCTGGGCAACCTGTGCCAGGGCCTCCCCACCCTCACAAGGAACAATTCCTTCCCAATATCCCATCTAACCCTGCCCTCTGTCAGTGGGAAGCCATTCCCCCTCATTCTGTCCCTCCATCCCTTGTCCCAAGTCTCTCTCCAGCTCTCCTGGAGCCCCTTCAGGCACTGAAAGGGATTCTCAGGTCTCCCTGGAGCCTTCTCTTCTCCAGGTGAACACCTCCAGCTCTCCCAGCCTGGCTCCAGAGCAGAGGGGCTCCAGCCCTCGGAGCATCCAATCATCAAATCAGGAGTGACAGCAACTTTCTTTGTGCACCCCCAAAACCCTGTCAGCCCCGGGCTGCTCCCCACCTCCTTGCCAGGGAGAGACGCGATGTTCCCAAATTAGGAGCTTTTCTCGTCTGCCTGGGACAATCCCAGCCGGCAGGGACGGGCAGGGGACAGGATGTGGCACCGACATCTGCCCCAGCTCCCTCCACCATCCTCGGTCACCTCTGTTCCTAAACCCGGGAGGGCTCCGGGGTCGCTCATCCCGGTGGTTTCGGCCGGGAATTCCAGCAGGAGGAGGATGGACCCCGCGGTGCGGTGCTCACACAGCAGGTTGGCCGAGCTGGAGCCCCGGGGCCGGTCCCGCTGGGCCGGTCCGGGCTCATTCCTGGAAGCCCCCGGAGCCGCGTTGGATTGAGAGACAGGGGGCGAAGGGCAGAGACACGTTTAATACAGTGAGAGGCAACAACACGGGTACTGCCAAGTGTACAGAACATCACAACACACACCCCAGCACGGGGGGATTCGCACCCAACGCCCCGTGGCAGTGCCGGCAGAGAGGAGGGAGCAGGACGGGATGCCGGGAAGGGCACCTGGAAAACACTCTCTGCAGGGTAAGGAAAACACCTATTTATCTCTGGTCTCTGTGGTGTTGGGTGTAAGTGCAGCACACGAAGGCTGATGGGTGCTGGGGAGGGGGCTCCTCCACACAGCCCCCAGCAGGGATGGTCCATCAGCGTCCCCACGTCCCACCCCACCGATCCACCCCATCCCGGATGTTCCCAGTGGGAAGGGCAGGCTGTGTCCCACCTGTGACATGCAAATCTCCCCTGGCACTTTTCAGCACCTCCCGTGCACGTCACCCCCCTTCATTCTTTGGCAAACAGGTTCATGACGGTAATTTACAGCTCCGGGACCTGCCCGCGGCTGCCTCTCCCTTCCCGGCCACTCCTGGGACATGGGATGGGCAGGGAGGGGGCTTGGGAGGAAGGAGATGGGTCTCCTGCTCCTCCAACCCACCCCGAGCCCTCTGCCACCAGCTCAGGAGCCCAGGGCTGGCACCTCAGAGCCATCCCCACCAAGCCACAAAAGCACAGTGAACTTGCACCCAGGGACACAAGGGGTGGGTGATGCAATTCCCCCCGGGATTTCGGTGACTGCAGGGTGTGTTCACCATAGGGAGAGAGCTGTGACATTTTATTCCCCCTCAGAGTGGGAATCTCAGTTGTGTGAGACCCCTGTCAGGTGCATTTTCCATGGGATGGGGCTGGTGGGGTGACAACAACTCTGGGCACGCGCTGATGTGCTGAAGCCCCTGGGATGGGGACGTGTGTGCAGTGGGCTCCAGCCCCTCTGTCCCTCCCCAGCTGTCCTGTTCTCCTCATTTCCAAATGTCCTCCAAGGGCTGGAGAGGACGAGCAGGGTGGAAAAGGGAAAGCAAAGCAGGATGACCAGCAAAGCAAGGGCACTTCCAGAGAAACTCTTCTTGGAATCTTGCCAAGCCGAGCGCCAGTGGAGCCAAGCCACCACATCAGTCTTTCTTTCAGCTTCATCCATTTTTCCTACTGCTCTAGAGCCTTCCCAAACTGTCCACCCAAAGGATCTGCCTCTGGCACCCTCTGGAAACCTGCCAGCCAGGAGCCACACTATGGGACCAGGAGCCACACCATGGGATCAAGCCAGGACTCGTCCGGGTTAAGCAGCAAGGGGCTCATGTCCTCTGACCTGCCTCAGCAGGGGTTACACCCACACCCAGGATAAAAGCAAGGAAAGGCAATGCCAGTAGAAGGAATAATAAAATCCATTAAAAAAGCTTTGGGCTGCTGGCTCTCTGACCACAGAAATACTAAAAATACCTCATTTCTGAGACCACCCGTATTTTACAACCCCTAAAAGACTAAATTCTTCCCCTAGAAAATTGAAAAAGGTTTAAAATCCATTTGTATCAACCCTCTCACCTTCACCAAACCTTTAAAAACCCCATGGGAGGGCTGAGGGAGGAAGGGAGTGTGGGGCAGGGATGAGCAGCGCTTTGGTGCCAGGCAGGGACCTCTCCTGTGCCCATCCCAGCACATCTCCATGGGTCAAACACCCCCAAAACTGGGGGGCTGGTGGTGCCCCCAGCCTCTGCTCCAGCCCCCCAGTGTGCCACACGTGTGCCAGTGAGTGCAGCAGCTGGAGTGAAGGGAATGGGAACAGGGGACATGGACACTGAAGCTGCACGTGGCATGTCCTCCCCTCCCTGTGCTGGGCTGCACTTCAGCATCCAAGCACGGAGGGTTTGTGGGAATGTCATGGCAAAGGCAGTGTCTGTGCTGCCCCAGGACAGGGGTGGAAAGCTTTGGGGTCACTCTAAGCTGGTGTGTGACACTGACTCTGCTGCTGAGGCCTGGAACTGGGGAAGGGGCATCCTGTGGCCAGATGGATGACGGACATTAAAAACCAAACCCACCCTAACTGCTGATCGATGTGCCTAATCCAGCCCCGTGAGCGAGGGAAGCCTTGGCATACAGGAAGGGCAGGCTGGGCTCCGAGGGGACCCACTGGGACAAAGATGGAGCTGGAAACGCAGGGATGTGGCTCGTGCTCACTCCAGAGCCCACTCTGCCAACCACTGCTGGCACCGCACCCGCTGCTCCTCCGGCTCCGTGCTCCCAGCTTCGCTCCGGGGCTCCTCCTCCTCCTCCGCACCACCACCCACGGCCTCCTGGCCCTGCTGCTCCTGCTCCTCCTGTGTCACCTTGTCCTTGAGCTCCTGGATGGTGTCCTCCAGCCGGCGGGTGACGCGCTGGGGCTCCCAGTTGCCGTCCATGGCGGGGACGAAGGGGTCGGGCGCGCACACCTCGATGAGCTCCCCGCGTGTGGGGATGCGCAGGTAGTAGGCGTGGAGCATCATCCTGTAGGGGCTGCTGTCCTGGCCCAGGCTGTACGTGAAGTCCCCCACGATGGGGTGGCCGACGGCGCTGCAGTGAACCCGTAGCTGGTGAGTCCGCCCTGGGGAGAGCAGGAGTGGAGGGATCACAGACAGGTTATCCCTGAATCCCTCCTTCAGCACCAGGTAACACTTGTCCCCCCTGAGCCCGGCGGTTCTCAGCTTCCCTCATCCCTTTCCAGGCTCTGCTTCCACGTCAGAGCCCCCCAGAGCTGCAGCCCCGACCCCAACCCCCACCTGTCAGGGGCTGCAGCAGCACTTTGGTCACGGGGTCTCCGCTGTAGGATCCGTGCTCCAGCACGATCAGCTCCGACTGGCAAGGCTTGGGATTTTCACAGCCTGCAACGAGATCCAAAGGGGGTTTGTCATCCCCTAGCGAGGCTCAAGGAGTCTGGGCAGTGCAGGGAAGGGGGGCTCACCCTCTGTCCCATCGATGCACATCATGTGGGTCCTGCCCTCCGTGGTGTTCTTCCCGATGGCATAGCGGATCGTCATCCGGCTCTGGCTGACGTGGCCCCTCACCTGGGGGCAGAAAGGGGGTTTGAAACTGAGCCCTGGCACGTGCTCCTCACCCCACAGTGCCAGGAATCATGGAATCACAGATCGGGGAAGGTTGGGAGAGTCCACAGTGGGGACACCTGGTCCAACCTCCCTGCTCCAGCAGGGTTTTCCTAGAGCACATGGCACAGAATTGTGTCCAGGTGGATGCAAGAAGCAGACCAAGTTGCAATTCATAGAGTCACAGAACCTTGGAATGGTTTGGGTTGGAAGGGACCTTAAAGTCCATCCATCCAGTTCCAGTTCCAAACCATTGGCAGGAACATCTTCCACTAGCCCAGGTTGCTCCAAGCCCCGTCCAGCCTGGCCTTGGACACTTGCAGGGATCCAGGGGCAGCAACAGCTTCTCTGGGCAACCTGTGCCAGGGCCTCACCACCCTCACATGGGGAAATTCCTACCCAATATCCCATCTAACCCTGCCCTCTGGCAGTGGGAAGCCATTCCCCCTTGTCCTGTTCCTCCATCCCTTGTCCCAAGTCCCTCTCCAGCTCTCCTGGAGTCCCTTTTAGGCACTGGAAGGGGTTCTCAGGTCTCCTTGGAGCACTCCCTTCTCCAGGCTGAACCCCAGCTCCCTCAGCCTGCCAGCAGAGGTGCTCAGCCTGCCCAGAAGGGCAGCCCCAAGCAGGCCCTGGCAGGGTGGGCTCACCAGGGCGAGGTAGGCTTTGGTCACCAGCCGCTCCTTGAAACACTTGTAGGCGCTTCCCGCCGCCGCCTTGTTGAGAGCAACACACAGGGCCCCGCTGGTGGAGAAATCCAGCTGGTGGCAGAACCTGGGGAGGAGACAGGGGTGCAGGAACATCCTGGGGAACTTGTGGGTGCCCCCAGCCGAGGGCATAGCCCGGGTGGGTGCCCAGCCACTCACCTGAAGCCGTAGTAGGTGTCGGGGTCGGCGAGCTCGGGGAAGCGGTGCCGGAGCTGGCTCTGCAGGGTCAGTGTCTCGTACCACATCTTGCTGTCAATGCGGATGTCCCAGTGCTTGTTGACCACAATGAAGTCGGAGCTCTGGTACAGGATGGACAGGTTGTCGATGGTGCCCGGCTCCATGGCCAGCGCCCTGTGGGAGCGACACGGGAATTAGGGTGAGAGGGGTGGGGGGAGCCTCCAGCTGCAGGGTGGGTGTCACAGGGGTGGGACAGCACCCTGGGCAGCAACGGGACCCAGGCAGGGTGGGCTGGGAGCAGGGCAGGGAGTGGGGCACCCCGTAGGACTGGAGAGGTATTGGTGCTCTGTGGTACCAGTGTCACCCTGCACAGGACCAGAGCAACACCAATGTCGCTCTACTCGGCCCAGTGACACCAGTGTCACCCAGCATGGCTCCCTCAGCCTCACCAGTGTCACGCTGTGTGACTCCCAGAGTAACACCGCTGTCACCCTGCTCGGCCCAGAGGGACGCCAGTGTTACCCTGCGTGTCCTGGTGTCACACTGATGTCACCCTGCATGTCTCGCAGCCTCACCGGTGTCACACCGATGTCACCCTGCATGTGTCCCGCGGCCCCCCTGGTGTCACCCGGTGCTGGTGCGGCTCCCGCAGCGGTCCCGGTGTCACAGCCCCCGCCGTGGCGGTCCGGCAGCCGCGCCGCTGTCACACCGCACAGCTCCGCCGCCGTCCCCGCGTCCCGGGACACGCCCATCCCCGTCCCGGTGTCACGCGTGGCCTCCCCGCGCTGGAGCCGAGCCGCGATCCCGGGGGCTCTGGCTGGGTGCACGGGGCGCTGGGGAGGAGACGCGGGACGCGACAGCGGGGACACGGCGGAAGGGACACGGCGGAAGGGACACGGACACGGCGGAGGGGACACTGGGGAGGGGACACAGGGGAGGGGACCCGCGCCGCTCTGAGACCTCGGCCCCGCTGCCGCCCCCGCCCCACCTGCGGCGCCGTCCCGGGCGCTCCCGGGGCGGCCGCGGCTACATCGCCTCCATCGGCCCGGGCCGCGCGCCGCGTCCAATCAGCGCCGCCCCCGCCGGCCCGGGACGCGCGCCGCGTCCAATCAGCGCCGCCCTCGCCGGCCCGGGACGCGCGCCGCGTCCAATCAGCGCCGCCCTCGCCGGCCCGGGCCGAGTGTCGCGTCCAATCAGCGGCGCGGCCGCCCCCGCCTGGCGCGGCCGTGGCCAATGAGCGGCGGCGGCGCGGGGCGGGGCGGGACGTGCGCGGCCCATGGCGGGCGCCGAGAGCGCCGAGGGCGCTGCCGACGATGAGTTCTACGAGCGCTTCGCCGCCGAGCTGGAGGTGCTGGCAGAGCTCGGAGGTGGGCGCTGCTGCCGGGCCGGGACCGCCACCGGGGAGGGGCGGGAGGGCAGGGCCGCGCGTGGCCGCTCACCGGAGCTCTCACCCCTATTGCAGATGACCCGTCCCCGCCCGCCGGCCCCAAAATCTCTCAGTTCCGGGGCAGGAAGCAGCAGCCAGAGGAGGCCGAACCCCCCGGGGACTCCCACTGCAGGAAGAGGGAGCGGGGCTGTGCCCCCGACGGGTCCCCAGCGCCGGCCGGACCCCGCAGTAGGTTTGACTCGGTCCCCGGCGCTGCTGGGCCCTGACCCCGCTCCCCGAGCGGTGCCGGGCGCTGAGCATCCCCGGTACCGCCCTCCCTCAGCCGTGATGCTCCTCTTCCCCCCTCCCCGGCGTCTCTCCCAGCCCCGAAGCCGAAGCGGCAGCGCCTGGAGGCCGTGAAGAAGCTCGATTTTGGTGCAGACGATGAGTTGGCTCCTGATGTCTCCTGGGATGGGGGCTCAGAGGCACCTCTTGCTCCCCAGAATACCAGGTTGGCCACCTTGAACCCCATTTTTAGCAGGGACGAGGGAAAGGGCCCTTGGCCCCCACCTTCAAGGAGCTCAAGGGCCCTTTTCCTCACTCCTGCTAAAGGAATTTGGTGTTTTCCAGCTCCAACCAGCTGGAGATGAGCGGCATGACCCCCCTGCAGACCACACCACCCTCTGAAAAGAAGTGGGTCCTCAAGAGACCCCCCATCCTGGAGGATTATATCAATGTGACCTCCACCCAGGGCACCAGGGTCTTCCTGGTGCTGAGGGATGATCCCTGCAGGACAGGGGTGGAGGTGAGGAGGGCTCTCAAGGTTGGGTTTGCTTCTCTGCCTTCTCCAGCTGGTTCAGGAGGGGGTTGTTTGTGCTGTGTCCCCGCAGCTCCCGGATTCCCTGGGCTGGAATGCACGGAGGCCTCTTCACCTGCTGGGGGTGCCTTTCTCCTACCTGAAGGAACAGGTGGACCAAGAGGTACCACATCTCACACTGACCTTCCCATCTTTCCCTGCCATTCCTTATACCACAGGACTGGCTCCCAAATCCCTGTTCCCCCCAGCCATGTGTTACTGGGGTATCCCTGACCCCTCTCTCCCTCTCTCTGTGCTCCAGCGGCTCAGGCATGTTCAGAAGGTATCACAGCAGCTGACAGAGATCATAAACAGGTGAGATGTTGGGATGAAATCCCATCCTATCCCTGCCATGCTGTCTGGTGTGCCTCCCAAGACGCTCTGTGGGGTCCAGATTTTTGGGACCTACAAGCAGAGGAGCCTCTTTGCCCTTGTCGTGCTTAGCATGGGAAATCTGAGTGTAACTCCCAGCCCTTCCCTGACTCCCTGGGTGGTTTGGGGCAAGTTAATTCTTTCTTGCAGTTGCCTTGAGAGTGAGCCCAGCACGGAGAGCCTGGATCCTGGTGGGGACACGGATCCTGAGGAGGAATCTGCCTCCCATTGCCTCTGGGTGGACAAGTTCACCCCCCGGCGCTACATGGAGCTGCTCAGTGATGATGTGAGGTGCTGGGAGAAGGGGGGGCTTGGGCTTGGGGGGTATTAGCACTTCTGTAACTCTTCCTTTATGCTGTGGGATCAGGGTGTTGCCTTTGGAAGGGCTGGTCCTTCCTGGGAGCAGTCCTGAGTCCTGGAGAGCTTGGGATGGCAGTTTCAGCTGGAGGCTGTGGGCTTTCTAACAAAAGAGATTGTGAAACATGACCAGAACAAGACCAAAAAGACTGGGAGGACTTTAGCCAGGAATTGTGGGCTAGTTTGGGGGGTTTTTTTGAATATCAGAAGTTTTGTAGGGAGTTACAAATGATGGAAGAGGCTGAGAAGTGCTGAGTTGAGCCAGGACAGAGGAGGGACAGCAGGGATGGGGCCAATGTGACTTGTCCTGGGTTCCCCTGTGGGGTGATGGTTGAGCTGGGAAGGGAAGCACCATTCCCGTGCTGTCCCAGGAGATGCCAGGTGGAACCCTGAGCAGCCTGTCCCGTGGAAGAGAGCTTTCCTCTGAGGTTCCATGGATTTTTCCCACTTCCCCCCACCTGCAGTACACAAACCGGTGCCTTCTGAAGTGGCTCAAGCTCTGGGACACGGTGGTGTTCGGGAGGGAGAAGGCTGTGAAGAAGGGCAAGCCCAGCACTGCAGCTCATCCCTCATTCAGCCATCCCAAGGAGCACCCAAATAAGTGGAAAACAAAGGTCCAGCTCACAGAGGAGATTCTGGAGGCTGAGCTGGACCAGCACAAGAGACCCAAATACAAGGTGAGCAGGACAGGGCGGTGCTGAGGTGTCCCCTCATCCTACCAGCAGGGTGAGGAGCAGGGCATTCCCTCCTTGGTGAGAGCTGGAGGAAGCCCTTGCCATGCTGACCTACCCTCTGTGCCACAGGTAGCCCTGCTTTGTGGCCCTCCTGGCTTGGGAAAGACCACACTGGCCCACGTCATCGCCCGGCACGCGGGGTACAACGCCGTGGAGATGAATGCCAGGTGAGGCCCTGCCAGCCCAGTGCTGCTGCAGGTGCTGCCAGGCCAGAGGGGACGCTGGGGGTGACACTGTCCCAGGGGTGACAGTGTCCCGGGGGTGACAGTATCCCAGAGGTGACAGTGTCCTGGGGGTGACGCTGGAGGTGATGCTGTCCCAAAAGTGATGGTGTCCCAGCAGTGATGCTGGAGGTGATGGTGTCCCAGGGGTGATGGTGTCCCAGGGGTGATGGTGTCCTGGGGTTGATGGTGTCCCAGGGGTGATGCTGTCCCAGCAGTGATGCTGGATGTGATGCTGTCCCGAAAGTGATGGTGTTCCAGGGGTGATGCTGTCCCGTGGGTGATGCTGGAGATGATCCCGTGCCAGAGCCTCCCCCATGCCACAGTAACCTGGCACACCTTCCCTGCAGCGATGACCGCAGCCCCGAGGTGTTCAAGACCCGCATCGAAGCTGCCACCCAGATGAAGTCTGTGCTGGGGGCCAGCGAGAAGCCCAACTGCCTCATCATCGACGAGATCGACGGCGCGCCCGCGGTGAGCCCCGGCCGCCTTTGGCATTAACCCCTTCATTGTTCCCCCATTAGCAGCTCACCCCCTGTTCCACGAGCTGTTTGTTGCCTCTAAGCAGCAAGAATTCATCCCTTCTGCCCTTGGTTTTTTCCCCCAAGGCATCCATCAACGTGCTGCTGAACATCATCCACCGTAAGGACGTGCAGGGAGAGGGAGAGGCCGGTGCGGGCCGGAGGCGGCAGCGTGAGGGTGGGTTGTTGCTCAGGCCCATCATCTGCATCTGCAACGACCAGTGAGTGTCACCCGTGGGTCTGGGGGGATGGAGAGCTGAGACCCTGCCCTGAGTGAGGAGGTGGTGGCTGTTGGTGTCTCCCTTTGAGTGGAGCACCTCAAATCCTGGGGGCAGTTTTGGGCTCCTCGTGACAAGAAAGACTTTGAGGGGCTGGAGCGTGTCCAGGGAAGGGAACAGAGCTGGGGAAGGGTCTGGAGCACCAGGAGGGGCTGAGGGAGCTGGGGGGGGCTCAGCCTGGAGAAAAGGAGGCTCAGGGGGGACCTTCTGGCTCTCTGCAACTCCCTGACAGGAGGGTGGAGGTAGGGAGGGGTCGGGCTCTGCTCCCAGGGAACAAGGGACAGGAGGAGAGGGAACGGCCTCAAGTTGTGCCAGGGAAGGTTCAGGTTGGATATTTGGAAAATTTCTTCATAGAAAGGACTGTCCAGGCCTGGCACAGCTGCCCAGGGCAGGGCTGGAATCTCCATCCCTTAAGGGATTTAAAAGCCCTGTGGATGTGGCACTTGGGGACGTGGGTTAGTGGTGGCCTTGGCAGTGCTGGGGAACGGTGGGACTGGATGGTCTTAGAGGGCTTTTCCAGCCTGAACGATTCCATGACTAGTAGCTATCTTCCTTGCCCTGCTGTGGCCACTCAGAGCCCTGTGCTCCCTCCCCAGGTACGTGCCCGCGCTGCGCCCGCTCCGGCAGCAATCCTTCCTGCTCCACTTCCCCCGCACGGCTCCGTCCCGTCTCGCCCAGCGGCTCAGCGAGGTGTGGCACAGCTGAGGGCTCCCCTGACCCCCCTGGCTGGCCATCCCTCCCTGCTGACCCCCCTCTCCTGCTCCCACAGATCGCCCTCCAGCAGGGAATGCGGGCGGACACGGGGGCACTGCTGGCCCTGTGCGAGAAGACGGAGAATGACATCCGCTCCTGCATCAACACCCTGCAGGTACCGGGGTCATGGGGGGGCCTGGGGGACACAGACAGCTCTGGGCTCAGATGGGGATGGAGGGGAAAGAACTCTGTCCTTGGCAGATCCCTAAAATATCCACCCTGTCCCCTGTGCTATTTTAACCCTGCACATGGAGGAAGAGGGAGATGCTGCTGTGTCCGGGATCTCCAGAGTTGTGGGGATCCCCCCCCTCCCTCTGTGCCCATCCCCCCAAACCCTCACTCCCATTGCAGTTCCTGCATGGCCGGGGGCAGAAGGAGCTGAACATGCAGATGGTGCAGACCATGAAGATTGGCCTGAAGGACCAAAACAAGGGGCTCTTCTCCATCTGGCAGGAGATCTTCCAGCTCCCGAGGATGCAGAGGTAAAAGGAGGGATTTGTTAGGTCTGGCTAGGTGCTTGGAGTGTGCTGCTTCCTGGTATTTTGGTTGCCCAGAGAAACTGTGGCTGCTTCAGCCCTGGAAGTGTTCAAGGCCGGGTTGGATGGGGCTTGGAGCAACGTTCTGTGCTTTTTGTGATTCCATGATCTTGCAAGACCTGGGGTGGAGAAATCTGAAAGGTCCTGGAGCTGCTCCTTCAGCAGATTTGTATCAGTCATAGAATCCTGGAATGGTTTGGGTTGGAAGAGACCTTAAAGATCATCTGGTTCCACCCCCTGCCATGGGCAGGGACACCTTCCACTAGCCCAGGTTGCTCCAAGCCCCGTCCAACCTGGCCTTGGACACTTGCAGGGATGGGGCAGCCCCAGCTTCTCTGGGCAACCTGTGCCAGGGCCTCCCCACCCTTCCAGGGAAGGATTTCTTCCTAATACCCAAACCAAACCCACCCTCTGTCAGTTTAAAGCCATTCTGGATGCTTTTTGTCCATTCCATTTAGCTGCCAATAATTTGGCATTGCCTTCAGTTTGCAAGGATCCAAATATTCCTTGCTGATCCCTTCAGCACTGGGGGACCCTCAACTCTTCCCTTTGGGCTCCCCCCAGGCACAGGATAGGAATGGACCCCTCTTTGCCAGCCCAGCTCCTGGCGGGTGACGAGGACCTGTCACACTTGGGGGGTTCCTCTGGCTTCAGTTCCTCCTCCCAGCGCTTCCACCATATCCTGCACCTTGCCGTCTCCTCGGGGGAGCAGGAGAAGCTCGCCCAGGTAAGAGCAACCAGGGGGAGAGCCAGGCCCCTTCCTGTGTTGTGCTGGAGCTCAGTGGGAAGCTTGGAATGCCGGTGACTTGCTCTGGCGGGACCATCCACCCGACCTCCAGCCGTGTAATCCCACATCCCCTTCCAGGGCCTGCATGAGAATTTCCTGTCCATGAGGGTGCGAGACTCCAGCCTGGGCTCAGTGTGCCTGGCCCTGGAGTGGCTCTGCTTCTCTGACCTGCTGGGTCAGGCTGTGCTGCACAGGCAGAGCTTCCAACTGCTGCGTTACCTGCCCTTCCTGCCCGTGGCCTTCCATCTGCTCTTCGCGGGCTCCGCCATCCCCCGCCTGGCCTATCCCAGCAGCCAGCACGAGGCAAGGCCTGGGGGGCGTGGGGGCAGCTCTGTGCCCCGTGGGACACTGTGGCTGAGCTGTCCCTGCCTTGTCCCCAGGCCCTGGCCAAGCTGACCCACATGCAGAACCTGGTGGTGTCCATGGTGTCGGGGATCGCGCCCGGCGCCCGGAGCCGCGCGGGGCAGCAGGTGCTGGTGTTGGAGGTGCTGTGCCTGCTGCTGGACATCATCGCCCCCAAACTGCGGCCTGTGAGTGCCCCTGACCCCTCCTCACTGCCTGGGTGATGTGTCCCCTCTGCAAACCTCACCCTGAACGCTGGGGGACAGACATCTCCTGGGCTGCATCGCCCAGGCTGAGCTATCCCAAATTTCTGTCCCAGATTCGGGGCTGATTTGATGTTGCAGGTGATGCAGAAGTTGGAGGGAAGCTGAGCATGTGATTCTGAGATACCTGACTGTGTGGAGGGGTCTTGAACCCCACCTGGGGTGGGCTTGGCTGAGCAGGGCTTTGGGGAGCTGTCACAGTCCCCTTCCAGCACCTGGGTCACTGCACCCTGCTCTGGGAAGGATGTGTGTGCCTAGGAGGGAACTAAACCTGGTCTGAACACCTTGGGTATTGACTGTCCCTCCTCACACAGACAAACCCTGTGCTTCGGGCTGTTTGTGTGTTCAGAAGTGACTGTGGGTCAGTGATGCTCTGCCCTCCCTGCCAGGTGAACACTCAGCTCTACAGCCAGAAGGAGAAGCAGCAGCTGGCAGAGCTGATCAGCACCATGCTGGCCTACAACCTCACCTACCACCAGGAGCGCCTGCCCGAGGGCCAGTACGTCTACAAGCTGGATCCGTGAGTGCCCAGGGGAGGGGAAGGGGTAGGGCTCAAAACCCTTCCCTGGGAGGGTGGGGAGGCCCTGGCACAGGTTGCCTGGAGAAACTGTGGCTGCCCCTGGATCCCTGGAAGTGTCCAAGGCCAGGTTGGATGGGGCTTGGAGCAACCTGGGCTAGTGGAAGGTGTCCCTGCCCATGGCAGGGGTGGGACTGGACATGCTTTAAGGTGCCTTCCAATCCAAACCATTCCAGGATTCCATGGTGATTCTGGGATAATAAGAGCAGAGAGCTCAGGAAGGAGGTGGAACTCCTGGCTTTGCTCCATCCACAGCATGGTCCAGCTGCCCCACCACTCCCTTGGGCTGAGGCTGGAGCAGAGCTGGTTTAGATTTAATGGGATTAAAGGAAAGGAAGCAGCTGCCTTTGGCTCTCACTGGAGCTGGCAGAGGGACTGAAGCCACCAGAGGACAGAGCTGGTCCACCTGAGCTCAGCACACAGAGGAGGTCACTGTCACCTTGGTTCATTTATAAATTACCAGCTTGGCCACTGCTTGACCTGGCTGTGGCTCTGCTCTGAGCACACCCAGAGCCAGAAACTCTGGGGAACCTTTGGAGAGGCAGCACAGACCCGGCCCCGGCGAGGACCAACATTAATGCCTTCCTGGGCAGAGTTAATTACAGTAATGAGCCTCTGTTAATCAAGCAGCTCTATCGAATTACAGTGAACTGCTTTAGTAACCATGAGGTTTCTTCCTCATGGAAAGGCTTGTGGGGGCTGTAGGGATCCATCCTTTGCTGTTCCCCCCATGCCACTCCCACGTGGCCATGGGGAGACCATGGGACATCAGGAGCCACTTTTTGGCATTACTTTGCTTTACTTTGCCTGTTTTGTGAGTTCTGAGCCTGTTTCCTGGCTGTGTACAGAATCAAAGTTGGCAAAGACCTTCAAGATCATCGAGTCCAACCATAAAATGATGGGGACTGTGGGGGTGTCACATCCCAGTGGCATCTGGAAATTGCATCCCAGCATCTCTCTGGCAAACAAAGCTGTTGTCGACAGCAAAACCTGTGTTTTCTCTTTCTGACTTCTTAAAACATTGATTTGACAGCTAATTTCTAAATGACTGCAGAGCCAGCTGACAGGGGACTTCGCTCCCTTTACTTTAAGGGCAAGAATATTGAATAAATATAAAATATTTAGAGCTGGCAGAGGGACTGGCCCAACTGGGGATGATGCTATATTGAAACAGGCCTAATTCCAGAGCTGGTGCCCCAGCCCTGTTTAGGACCCAAGTGCTCTGATGATGCAGAGTTACTGTTCCTGGCTGTGTTTCCATTACCCACCTCCCCAGGGGAGGGTCGTGGTGGGGCTGTGCTCTGCCCGTGGTGTTTTCAGGGCAATCTGTTCAGCACAGCCCCGCTGCCATTTCCTCTTGTTGCCTTAAAACCGAGATTAAAACCCCCTAATCCCTCCTGCCTTCCACTCAGCCCCCTGGCTCCACCCAGGAGAGGGCAGCGCTGGGGAAACTGAGGCAGGATCGCACTCGGAGGTGGAAGGGGGGTGACTGGGCTCCCTGTGCCCTGCCAGGTTGCATAATGCAGGTTATTTTTAGTGTTGATTTGTGCTCCCTGCTCCCCCTTGTCCGTGCTGCAGGAATGTGGAGGATGTGTGTCGCTTCCCGGAGCTGCCGGCCCGGAGGCAGCTCAGCTACCAGGCCAAGCAGCTCATTGCCAGGGAGATCGAGCTGGAGAAGATGAGGAGGACGGAGGCTGTGCTGCAGGCACGGAACCCGGTAGGGAGGGGGCACTTCTGGGGGGTGGCAGGGCCGTGGATGTGGATAAAATCCTTAGGGATGGCGCGGGGACGTGGGTTTTCCAAAGCAGCCGGTGGCTTTTGCTCTGCAAATGGAAATCCAGGATTACCCCCCCCCCCCCCGCAGCTCCTGGCCTCCACATCTGCCCCTGGGCAGCACAGCTGTGCTGGGGGGCTGAGCCCCAGTCTTTGCAGGAGTTCTGGAAGGAAACACTCGCTGTGAGTTGAAGCTTTGAACCCTCCAGCTCTCTGAGGAGGGTTGGGAGGAGGTGGGAATTTTAGGAGGGAATTTGGGTCCGTTTGGCTGCGGGTTGTGTGTGTCTGCCCTTCCCTGCCTGCACCTTTCCTTCCCACTTCACTTCCATGGGTCCCAAAGGCCCCAGGAGGAGCAGAGTGAACTCTGCCCTACTGCCAAAACCCTCTTGGAGGCAGGAGAAAGTGCAAAAGGCTGAGAAACATCTCGGATGTAGCTGGTGCCTGCCCTGGTGCCATGGGGATAATTAATCCCTGAGAGCCCCTTGCTGCAGGAGCAGAGCTCCCAGGAGATGTGTGGGGCAAAGAGATGCTGCAAAAACATCCCTGAAGGCTCCTTGTTTACTCTGAAGTCCCAGGGAAAGGGACCCCAGCTGAGGCTGATCCCACGAGCTGCTGCGAGGCAGAAAATGGTGGAAAAATCCCATCCAAGCCCTCGGGATGTTGCAAACCCGGCAGCAAATAGAGAGGGTGGCTGGGATGGGTGACAACTGGGTGGCAGGTGCTTCATACCCAAACCTTAAGCTCAGACACTGTGAGGGGACCCTTGTTGAGGTCTCTCCTCCCCACAGGATCCCGGGAATGGCCTCGGTGAGGAGCGAGGGGACACGAGGCCATCAGGGACCCCCAACCACCGGCAGCGCCTGGAGCACATCGTGCGGAGGGCGGCGGTGGAGGACAAGGTGAGGGGCTGCAGGTCCTGCCCCAGTTCCCACCAGCGCTTCCCTGGCTGCCAAACACTCCCTGGCTCCACTGGAATCTAATTTTTTTAGCCCAGTTTCTTTTAATAGCCCAGTTGAGCACCGTGTGTCCCGCAAAGGCATCGCTGGGATTGCAGCTTTGGGACGAAGTGGATCTGGGTGACGTTGTGGACGTGCCCTGTGAGGCTTTCAGGGCTGGGGGAGGAAAGAGATCTGGGTATTTGGGTTGAAATAGCTGAATTTGGGCTCTGTGGAAGCTGCAGGGTGGGAGGGCTGCTCGGGAGCTGTGGAGAGGTGCCTCCATCCACTGATCCCACCCCGGGCATCCCAACAGCGGCCAAGGGGAGCAGAGGTGGTTCCCTGCCACTGCCCCTCTCCAGGGCTCAGCTTCCAGCCCTTGGCTGGCTGTAAAACCCGACTTCAGCACGATCACCCTGAAATTTTGCCTTTCATCCCCCCGGATTTGAATCTGTTTGCATCCCCCCGAGCCCGCTGGCCCTTCCCGCGGGATTTGCATGTGGCTCCTGCTCTCCCTAGAACCGCCCTGGGGGGTGACTGAGCCTTGCCCAGGCAGGAACTTCCCTTCTTTTCGGCCATCTCCGAAGGGGAGCTGGAAGTGCAGGTGCTGCAGAGCCAACTCACCTCCTGCTCTTTGCCTTTCACAGCCCGAGGTGGATTTTTTCGGGCGGCCGCTCCAGCGCAAACAGGCGGCCCCGGCCCCGGGTGGGTGACAGGGATGGGGGGCTGTGGGTGGCCCCAGCCCTGGGGGGGTGACAGAGGGGACAGGGGGTGGCACAGATGGGTGGCAGAGGGATGGGGTGGCCGTGGGTGCTGCTGGAGGGGGTCCCTTCATGCCCAATGCCCACCCCAAAAAGGGGCTCTGTCCCTCAGCACCATCCCTGGGGACATCAGTGGGGTGGGGAGGGGGAGTTGGGTGAACAGACCCCACAACAACGGGCAGGGGGAGTCCTGTGGGCAAGTCCATGGGTTCTGGCACCATCCAAATGGAATTCTGGGTGCTGAAGGGTTTGCAGGTTCCAGGACATGGGAGCATCACCTCTGCCCTTCCCAACCCTCCCTATTCCTGGCAGCAGCTCCCTGATTCCCCCCTCTCCCTCCAGCCTGGGCACGGGTGGTGACTTTAAGGTTTTCTGCAAGTTTCTGAGGTGGATTTTCCCCCCCTGCAGCCCCTCAGGCCTCCAAGGAAGAGTCCCTGGAGAAGCAGATGGGAAAGGCCGTGGGGAAGAGCGACGTGTGGTTCCGCTTCAACGAGGGGGTTTCCAACGCTGTCAGGAGGAACATCTACATCAGGGACCTGCTCTAGCTGGAGCCAGGAAATCAGGGTTGGAACTCAAGGGATCAGCTGGATTTTGGCTTTCTAACCCCTGTGTCCATGATCTTTGTTTAGTTTTTTTTTTTTATTACCGACTTATTTTGTTTAAAAAAATAAGGAAATAAAATGTATCTAAAAAATGAATAATGAAGTATTTTTCTGTTTATTAATAAACCTTTAGTTGTCATATTTTATGCCTGTTTTGCTGCAAAATGAGGTATCCTACAGTATACAAAAGTATTTAAAATCACTGAAAATGAGGGGTTTTTTATAAAAATCTTTACAAGTTGCAAAATGTTCCTGTTTGATGGCAGAGCTGGGTGAGGTCTGAACTGAAGCTGCAGCAAAACCCCGGAGAAACCTTTGCTGCTCCTCCCCCCCACTCTGCCCTCCCCATGTCCCCCCCAAATATAAAACCACTTCTACTACTAAAAAGAAGGAGACAGGTGAGGGCAGGGTTTTGTTCAGGTTCTCATATTGGAACTAACTAATAAAAAAAGTACATTCAGCAGGGGGAGCACAGGGGGGACCCCTCAGAGGATGGTGCATTTGCCTTTCTCCACCCAGGGGTTGTTTTTCATCAGCTCCGGGTTCAAGAAGGGATCCTCGGGAATGCCGTCCTCGATCCACTTCACAAACCTGTGGAGAGGGACAGGAGGGGTGGGCACAGCCCCTGCTCAAAGGTTTAAGGGGTGTAGGGCAGGGGGGGGTGGCAGCAAAACGGGAATTTTGGGGGGGGCTCAGTGTCCGGGGTAAATCCTGCTCCGGGGGCAGCGATCCCAAGGTGCACCCTGATCCAACGGGAATGATGCTGGGGGAGCTGAGAGGGGCAAACCAGGAGGGAAAATCCCCCCCCCCGGCTTGGTTTTACAGGTTGAAGTCTTTTGGAAAGAGGGGATCTGCACATTGAGGGGCTCCCGGGGTGCCAGGGGGTCCCGTGGCTGCTGCCACATCCCAACCGGAGCTCAGGCGGCTGGAAAGGGGTTGGCACAGGGGGGTTTTGTGGAGAGGAACAGAGAGAGGGGCTTTGGGGACACTGGTGGGTTTCTGCTGCTGGGGCTTGGAGGGTTTGAAGAGCCATAAAGGAGAAAAATCCCATTTGGGGACCCCCAGGGGATTTGAGGGGGGAAGTCTGGGGTGGAGAAGAGCCGGACTCTGCTCAGGAGGGCAGATGGGAAGGAGGATGGGATGGAGGGGGGGTGAGGTGGGCACCCACTCACTCAGGTATTGTCTTGGAGGACATCTCCCTCTTGTAGGCCAGCTGGTACTTGAGGCTTTCCACCTCCTTCTTCCACTGCGGGAGGTCCCACTCGTCCATGGCGGGGTCCGGGGGCCCTGCGGGGCTGGGAACGGGCACAGTGGGGCCGTGTCCTGCCCTGACCCCCCTCCCAGCTCTGCACCCCCAAAGAGGGGTCCCCCAGGATGGGGACAGATGTCACCACGCTCCCGGGGGAGGTTTCCAACCCCACCGGTGGCTCCAGGAGATTTTGGGGTTGTTCTGGCGAGGCAGAGGCTGCTCTTACCTGTGGGTGTGAGGCTGGCACGGGGCAGGTGCCCAGTGCCCCCCTCTCTTGTAGCCCAGGGGCACATGCAAAACCCAGGGAACCAGCCAGATTTGACTGAAATTTGGATGGTGGCATCGCCCGGGGTGGGGAGTGTCAAACAGCCCCCGGAGGCTGCAGGGGGAGGGGAGGGGGTTGTTTGTCCTTTTCCTGCCTGGTCACAGATCCCAGCAGGCCAGGAGAGATTTTGGTGCGAACAGCCCTGGAAATGGCTCACGGGGATGGGGAGCACTGATTTGGGGAGCGAGGCAAACCCCCCTGAACCCCCTTTTCCCCCAGCAGTGGCCCTGGGGGGGGACGTGTGTGGTGGGGAAACTGAGGCACGGCAGCCGATGGGGCACAAGCAGCAAGACAGGCACGTGAGACCCTCTGCGAGCACCTGTGTCCCTGTGCCACCCCAAAAATCGGTGGCACGAGGGGACCCTCCCCCTGCCCGTGGCCCCAGACCCTCCCCGAGTGATGATGCCCAAGGATGCCCTGTCCAGCACCCCTACACGGGCTCCAGCCCTCAGGAGAAGGTCAGGGAAGGGCTGGGGGTGCTGGAGGGGGATGAAATCCACCCCCCCACGGCACAGCTCAATGCCAGCCCTGCTCCAGCACAGCCTGGCAGCTGCCCGGGCTGCCCCAGCTCTGCTTCCCTGCAGAGCATCCCCCGAAAACCAGCCGGGAAAGGGATGAGCCCCACGCTCCGGCCTCCCCGGGCTCTGATCCCTGGAGGCAGATGGGCACCAGCATCCCCAGCCCTGCTCCAGCCATCCCGGCAGCATCCCAGCGCCAGGAGCGAGCCCCGCACCTACCTGTGCCGGGGAAGGAGTCAGCGGGATGGGAGCGGGGCCGTGTCCGTCGCCGCGGGCTCGGGAAGCCGCCCTGGCCTTGCCCGTGTCCCTCCCGAGAGCGCTTCCCTGGATGCTGGCGAGTCCAAATCCTCTGTGTAATCTATTAATGCACGGCTGGTCCAGCTGCCTCCGCCACGGCAGGAGCCGGATAATGGGAGCGTCCTCCCCCCGCTGCTCCCGGGGGATTTGGCTCCGCGGAACGTGAGCGCCCGGGATGGAAGCACAGCCCTGGTACCCGGTGGCCGAGCTGCCAAATTGGGGTTATCTTTGCCCTCCCCAGTCCCTGAGGGACAGAAGGGCCCCCAGGAGGGAGGGGATATATGGTGGGACACAGCGGAACCCCGGGGAGGCCCTGCATCCCTCCCTGGATCCCTGCCTGCATCCCTCCCTGCATCCCTGCCTGCATCCCCGGCAGCATCCCTGCCAAAGCCAGCCCTCCGTGGTTTCCCGCTCTGCTGCCTCTGGATGTTGTGGTTCTTCCCGCTTTCCTGGTGCTGGAGGGGCAGGAGAGGCTGGGGGGCACCTGGGGAGGGGGTGGGTAAAAAAAGAGGAAATATAGAAGAGGGGTAAATGACCCAAGTGAGCAGTTGGGACTGAACATATGGCGGGTGAAAGGGCAGGGGCAGCACAAGGGGAAAAGGGCAACGTTCAAAAAATATCGATGTGGGATTTATAGGGAGGGACAAAACCCTGGAACAGTTGGGAACTGATTAAAAACAAGATAATTGATGTGAAACCACAAAGAAGTGACGCCCCTCTCCCACCCTCCCCTTCATTAAACAACAGATTAAAACTAAACTTAAGGTAAACTTTGCTGCTTAAAAAAACAAAAACAAAACAAAACAAGACTTGCACAAAGCAAAATTGTCCAGGTACAGCCCCTAAAGCTCCCCTTTCCTGGACCTGTGGCCTTATAGGAGTTTGTCCCCTCTGCAACATATACACATACACACATATATATATGTATATGAAATAATAGAATTACGGGTTGAGTTGGAAGGGACCTTAAATGCCATCTCATTCCATGATATCATATATTATATTATGTTATATTATATTGTATTGTATTACATTATATTGTATTATACTGTATTATATTATATGTGCATATACATAAAGTCAAGAGAGTGTATATATATATACACATATATATTTATATATACACACACATTTTTTAATATATATATAAATACATACATATACACACAAATATATATATAAAATATACATGGCAGTGGAAAATATATATTCCTATTCTACGCATTTGTGTGTGCAGATATGATCCAATTTATACCATATATCAGATTTATTATGTCTTATATGTATTATAGATAATATATAATGTACAGAAATACACGTATACACACATACACATGCTTACATTTATGTGTGTTCATTTATATAGGAACACATACATAAAATGATGCTATATATTATAATATAGAATCATGGAATGGGTTGGGTTGGAAGGGACCTTAAAGATGATCTAATTCCATCATATATTATATTATATTATTTATTTGCATTATATATAAAATAATATATATTTCAGTAAGTATCTATAAGTGTATATATATATACATAAAGGCTTACTGAAAGAGGTATCTTCTCTCTACAGGCCAGATATAGGAAATATATGTATTTTAAAAAATTTAAAAATATATGTATAAAAATATATGTTTGATTTCTCAGCCCAGTGTGCAGGTGCCAGGAGGAGGCTGGTGCTGATCCAGCCTCCCTTCCACCCTCATCCCTCATGGATAATCGATGGAAGAGCCTCCTGGAGCCACCAGTGCTCCGGGAGAGGAGGCAGGAGCCGGAGCTGGGCCAGGATCGATGGAGCTGTTCGGGGCCAAACCCGGAGCTTTGCTTTGCTGGAAACAACCCCCCAACACCGCGGGGCTCCCGTGGGGGTGCCCTCGCCCCCCGTGCCCATGCGGGAGGTCAGTGATCCCGGCCCGGAGTCGGGATTATCCTCCCGTTGACATCAGCCCTAATCTCCCTGCGCTGCCTCCCCACCGCCGGGAAAGGCTCGGCTCTAATGGCAAAACAACCCCGGCGGTGGGTTATTGGATTTCCCTGGATTTGCCGCAATCTGATGGCACTGGGGGGAATTCAGGAGCCCCCCGCGACCCCAACGCCAGCCCGGGGGGTTCAGGTCCGTCCCTCCTGCAGGAGTTCTGCCCGGGAGCAGCTCCGGGGCTTGGCAGGGCAGGCAGAAGCAGCAGCACGTGTGCCCAAATTTGGGGGGCCGGGGTGGCCCCAACGCTGGTGGGTGGTGGGGGACAAGCCCATGGCACAGCAGATTGCAGGGCCTGCACTCCCCACCACCACCCCCCCCGGCCTGGGTAGATTAAAGAATTATGAACTCCTGAAGTTTTGCAATATTAATGATCGGGGCCATCTGTTAATCTGGCAGCAGCAACGAGCTGGGCTTTGACTTTGCGTAGTGCTGTTATTAAAACAGAGTATTTTTGGCTGGGTGGGCAGCTGGAGACTCCTGTGCATGGCAGGGGCTCTCCACTGCTGCCCACACCTGACTGAATCCAAGGACAGGGATAGAGGAGCACCCTGGGCACGGAATAGAACGTGCCCCTCTTTGAGTGCAGCACTGCAAATCCTGGGGGGAGTTTTTGGCCTTCCCATGACAGGAAGGACTTTGAGGGGCTGGAGAGTGTCCAGGGAAGGGAACGGAGCTGAGGAAGGGGCTGGAGCACCAGGAATCCCAGAATATGCTGAGTTGGAAGGGACCCACGGGGATCATTGAGTCCAAGTCATAGCCCTGCTCAGGACACCCCAAGAGTCACACCCTGTGCCTGAGGGAGCAGCTGAGGGAGTTGGGGGAGCTCAGCCTGGAGAAAAGGAGGCTCAGGGGGGACCTTCTCACTCTAGAATTCCCTGGAAGGAGGGTGGAGCCAGGGGGTGGTCAGGATCTACTCCCAGGGAACAAGGGACAGGATGAGAGGGAACGGCCTCAAGTTGTGCCAAGGGAGGGATTTGTCCATGGAAAGGGTGGTCAGGCCTTGGCAGGGGAGGTTTGGAGTCCCCACCCCTGGAGGTGTCCCAGGAAGGCCTGGCCGTGGCACTCAGTGCTCTGGGCTGGGGGACAAGGGGGGCATCGGGCACAGGGGGGACTCTGTGACCTTGGAGGGTTTTCCCTCTGACAGCTCCCCCCACCCTGCAGAGCCCCCCAGGGAACTGAGAGGGGTCTGCCCTCAGTCCCAGCTGCTAATTAGGGCTCTCTGGGGGGTGTTTTCCATACCTCAGCTCTCCAGGGCACACTCCAAAGGGATTGACTCAGTCAGCAGGTCCATGAGTGTCCTTGGCAGGAACGGTCTGAGCACAGGAGCAGAGGAGGGTGGGAAGTGCAGCTGAGGCAGAGGCAGAGTTGGGTGGGGGCAAATCCTCCCCCTGACACTTCATTGTACAGATCTCACCTCGGGGAAGGGGTAAAGTTGCCCCCCCCCCCCCCTTTCCTGCTCAGCTCTCAAAGGATCTCAGCCTCCTTACCCAGGATTCCACCGCTGGGATGTGCATCCCATTCCTCCCTGAGCAGGGCTGGGAAGGACACAGGGGTGCAGCAGCAGCTCCAGGGCTTGTAGCTCCTTAAATATAGCGAGGGGATTTATACAGACCATGGTGAGAGTAATCCAAGCAATATTGAGCAATCAAAAAATGTCCTCAAGACCCTGCTCGTGCTCCAAGGGCTGCACAGACCCAGCACAGGAACTGCTGCCCCTCAGCCAAGGCAGGTACATTCCTCCCTGGACTAGGGGATGGCATTCCCACATTCCCACTCCAGACTTGAAGAACATGGGATAAATTCCTTATTTTCAGCTGAAATTTCCTTTTTGTTACAGGCCCTTCCTTGCAGCTCTTTGCACTTAGAGCTTGGCAGCCTCAGCTGAGCTAAAGCAGCAGAGCTGTGTCTGCTGAAATACAGCATTGGGAGGAAGCAGCTCCAGGTGCCCATTTCCTTCTCCAGTTTTTTTGGAGACTTTTTGGAGACACTTTTCCATTTTTAACGAGCTGCTTCATCTCAATTATACCTGGAGCTTTACCTTTTTGGGTTTTCCACTGTGATGGCAATTCCTGCCCCCAGTGAAGAGCTCCACACAAAGTCCTTTTTCTCATCCATAAAAGATTAAATCATTATGTATGGGATCTATAGGGTTGCTATAGGTCATTAAAATTCAGAAGGGGATAAATAATGAATAGATGTGCTGTTTACTTACAGTAAAGGAGCAGTTCCCAGCCTTTCCCTGCCATGGGAAATCCAGGCTTGAAGGGGGAACAAAGCATCTGCCCCCTCACCTGATCCCTCTCCCTGGGCTTGGAATGAGGTGATAGAGAGGAGTATGGACTCCCATCCCAGTCCAACCCAAAGCCAAAAAAGCCCAAAATCCCAGTTAAAACAAAACTAAAAAAAAAGCCCAAAATCCCAGTTAAAACAAAACTAAAAAAAAGCCCAAAATCCCAGTTAAAACAAAACTAAAAAAGAAAAGACCAAAAGCCCCAAACCCCAAAAAAACCCCAAACTCCCCACCCCCCCCAAAACCCCCAAAACCCAAACCCCCCCCCCAACTAAAAACCCAAAGTCCAAAAAAGCCCAAACAGAAGCCAACCCTCCCCCAAAAAAAGGTCAAAAACCCCCTAAACCCAAAAGCCCCCAAACTCCAAAAACCCCCAATGCCCCCCAAAAAATCCAAACAAATCCCAACCACCATTAAAGAGTCAAAAAATCCCAACCCCAAACAAAACCTCCTCAAAAAACTCCCAAACAAACAAAAAACACCTCCCAAACAAACAAAAAACACCTC